GGGGGGGGGGGTGTAGGTTCGTGAAGTTTGCCTGCTTGGAATATATGTATCAACAGCAGCAAGGAAAGTATCCTTCCATTTGGACCATGCGATGTCAATATCATTCTCACTGAGAACAATATCAGTCAAAGGCAAGAGTTTCAAAGATTCACGGAGAGCTACAAAATCACCCTTGTTGTAGTTGTAGATTTTTCTATTCGCTGCGAATTTTGGTTTGTGATTGAGTATAAAACATCAAGGTGTTTCTTTAATGTGTCCAGAGCCGTTTGGTGTGCTGATGTCCATTGCCAAGTGGCGTTTGATTTGGTGAGTTGGCGTAGAGGTCCAGTTCATGGATGGCTTGTTGTATTCACATATAGTCGGGTTGAGGGTTAAGTTAATTTCTTGCAGGCATTGGAGGACTGCTTCCAAAGCATGATTATGTGACTCCTGGCTGATCGCTGCCATATATGATAATATCATCACTTATATTTCGTGCACCTGGCATGTCTTCTAGGACTTGCTGTATGGTTGCTTGAAAAACTTCCGCTGCTGAGGTAACTCCAAAAGTCAATCAAGTGTGGCGTCGCAGACCTTTGTGTGCAGAAAATGTTGTTATGTACCGTGATTCAGGTGCAAGTTCTAGCTGGTAATAACCTTGGTTTAGATTAAGCTTGGAGAAAACAGTTGCTCCATTTAAGTCGTTAATAAGGTCATCGATAGTGGGTGTGATGTGTCGTTCTCTCTCTATCGCTTTGTCGGCAACGCGCATGTCAACACAGAGGCGTACCTTGTTGGAATTTTTTGGTTTGGGTACCACAACTAGTGGAGACACCCATGAGGTTGGACCATGTACTTTTTCTATTATGCCTTCATGTTCTAATTGTGTTAATTCTTGTTCAAGTCCCTTTCGAAGGTGAAATGGGATTCTTCGGTGTGGTTGGGGACTAGGTGTAATAGTTTCATTGATGTGAAGATGAACTTGACAGTCTTTTAATTTTCCAACTCCATGATATCGATCATTGTATTTGTCTAATAATTGTTTCAGTTTGTTTTCTTCTTGAACTTCCGGTTCTTGATTTTCTGTTGCATTAATAGTTAACTTGATGAGGTTCAAGGCTAAGGCTGTCTCGTAGGTAAGCAACGAACCACATGTCCCTTGCATTACATATATTGTGGTCACAACAATTCGAGTCGATGATTCTATTTCGATGTCAAATTTTCCAACGTTAGGCAGAGGTGTGTTCGCGCCGTATCCGTATACCTTTGTGTTTGTCTTACATAAAGTAATGGGGGGCTGATTTGTCTTGGGTGAATATTTTTGTATTCGTAACTTGTCAATCATAATTTCTGTTGGCATGTTTCTGATTTTTACGTGAACTTTGGGCTTTTAACTTTGGATTTAATTGCATGTGTTTTTATATTTCCAAGCGAAAATATGTATTCGTCGTCAGAACTCGAGTCTACCGGGTGTTGGTTGCCCTACCTGATTTTATTTGCGCTCGTAGTATCTTGTTGTTGTCGCTGCATAGTATATATTTCCGGCTTTGACATGATTGACACTATTATCGGGTTTAATATTTCGATTTGTAGACCGGCAACGAGCGAAGTGGTTCATTTTCTGATACGATTTAAAGGTTTTCCCTTTTGCCGGGCATATTCCATCTAAATGAGGTAGTTGTTTCCACAATTGAAGCATTTTCGTGAGCGATTCATTTCGCGAGGGCTTTGTTGATATATATAATATAAACGCTGTTGAAACTGTTGTTGTCGTTGAGTGCGATTAATTTCATGGGATTCGTCGTGCGTTTGTTCAACGTCTGGCCCTTGTTTTTCTGCAGTTTTCATTGCTCGACCATGACTGAGCAGTTGATCAAAAGTAAGCGTTGACCCACGTAGGGCCCGTCGTCTTAATGGGGATGAGAAACAACCGAGTATTATCTGAAATTTTAATTCGGTAAATTAGGTCGGTAAATTCGCAGGTATACTGGCCAATTTTCTAAGACGTGTCGCATACTGATCAAGAGTTTCTCCAGTGCGTTGTTTTTCTTGTCGGAATACATAGACTTCGTAGTCGATATTTTTCTTCGGCGTAAAACAACCAGATAGTTTCTCTATTGTTGTATCGTAGTCCTCTCCATAGGTCCTCTCCAGGGGCGGATCTAGGATTTTTCGTACGTTAGTCAAAAATTTCGTTGCTGAACATCGAGGGGGGGGGGATTCTTTTAACGGGGGGGTGTCGCAAAGCGAATTAATTTGTATCCAGTTTTACGAAAAAATGTTACGTGAAAAATGACTGTTTCGCCCAATTCAGGGCTCGTCAGCATGCCTAGGAAACACATAACTCCATATAGCGATGTAGTTTTATAAAACATTTGATTGATTGTTAATTCTCAGGAATAGAATTTCCACGTTTAAATCACTGCTTCTCGAGTTTTATTCATAGCAGAAACATGTGCCATGAATAAGTATTCACAGAGATCGTATTACACAAAGCCATGCCACATTGTCATGTGTTTGTAGTTTTAATATACTAGACAACTAGGCATAAATAATACAGTATTATTAAGTATCTGATCAATATATAAAGCCCACATTCCACAAGAGGCATAAACAAAGTATAAACAAACTGAAACTGCTTGTATTAAGCCGCAGTATTATGTAAATTGACCGAAATATTATGTAAATTTCATCTCTTACTACGTACAGACGCGCAATCACTACAGCCTACAACAGCTATGATGCTATGTGTTGTTCACAGCGCACAATAAGTCTTTAATGGAACGCTTCGGTTACATATCTTTAAAATATTGTTAAGATATTGTCGATCATCTTTCTCTAAAGCAGCCTTTGCGGTTTCGTAAATACCAACAGACATGGCTAGTATTAGTTTAGAACTTCTGATAAATTTTCCGATTGCCATAACACGCACATGC